CATCCATCCATCCATCCATTTTCTGTACACGCTTCTTCCTTTCAGGGTCGCGTGAGTCACTGGTGCCCATTTCCAGCAGTCACAGTGCGAGGGGCAGGGTACACCCTAGACAGGTCGCAAGTCCATCACAGCCAACAAATATAATTGTAATTTAAATCTGTCAAATTATATACCAGTGATGTCCTAGACTATTTCCTAAAATTTTATATATTCAGAGGTTGTGAATGTCTGTAACTTTCAGATAGTTATGGGACAATAAATTAAGCTCTTCAGTACCAAATATAAGACCTTGTTTGTGTTGTGAAACATGGTTCAAATCTACGATGGTTGTATATTATTGGTTCTGGAAGATGATGAGTCAGAGAAGCTTGTCGTGACTGAACATATGAGCACTTCTTTACACTTCCATTCTTTCAGCAGACGTGTTTTCATCTTTCTGTCTGAAAGTTCTGCTTCTGTCAGTGTGTCCCTGCTGCRCCTGATGGAAAACAGCTTTTGTTCTAAGGGCTGGACTTGAGGGAGTAATTATTCTGMTCTCATTCAGTACTTCAAAGCTAAAGATTTTCCTTTTTGTGATTGGGACTGACCTTCTGGGTAATAAAAGACGCGCCCGTATCAACGTGTTTGGCAGGCGAAGAAAGTTTCACTCCTAATGTTTTATCTTCTGAGCTCACGTCCTCAGACAGTCCCGAGAGGTTAGATTCCTTCACCAGACATGACTCTGCTGATTTCCCATGTAAATATGTGTTTGGACCTGTTCTCAATAAACGTCAGGAAGAACGTCAGGCATTCGCCCGACTCTCACTGCTTGAGGGAAACAAAGCTCAAATCCACACAAATTGTTCAACTCTCTTGAATCTTGCAATTATGCAGCCTGTAGGGCTCTTTGTTTGCAGTGACTTCTCCTGGAGACAACCTATGGTACATGTTCTTTGTCTGTTAGCTTTGCYAATGCTAAACCACTAAATTGTGGTTCAGCTTTATAACATCAACTAAATGATAACCGCCAACAGTGGGCATACTGTAGCTAACCAAAAGCTTCAGTAAAGCTTGGGATGTTCTTCAATACAACGTGTGACAGCGGGTCAGTGATGGCGTCATTTCAGACGTCTTTTTCCCGYCCGAGTATAAACAGTTTTTATAAACAGGGCATAAACTGGGGTGGCTGTGGCAGAGTGYTTAMGGGAGTCGTCCTGTAACCAGAGGGTTGCCAGTMTTATTCCCCATTCCAGCTATTGTTAGGGGTGTAAATCACTAGCTTTATCACAATACTATATTATATCGATTTGTTTGGATGATGAGTTGATATTTCTCGATATCACAAATTCTGTCACYATACRATTTCAATTCAWTTCACAAGTCTACAATRGATATAATACYATATCATATGCCCATCTAACACAATGACTGTGTTAGATGGGCATATGATATTGATCTACATCAAGCATATGATGACGATATAGATCGKTATTTTCATTTTGCCTCGATATAACTGAATCATGAACCATTATATCYATATATAGATATGGATCGATGRAATGTTACACCCCTAGTCATTGTGTCCTTGGGCAAGACACTTCACCCGCCTTGCCTACTGATAGTGGTCAGGGGGTCCTGTGGTGCCACTGTCAGTGTGCCCCAAGGCATCTGGCCACAGTAACTGCTAACTCAAGATGTCATTCAAACAGACTTGTGGTTTCCACAGAAATGTCAAAGTCTTGGTAAAAGCTCATAAAAACATTTATATGTCCACCAAACAGTTAAAACCACGAGCAGTTGAARTGGCAAGGAAGCAAAGTGACAAACTTGGGTCTCAGCTGTTCACCTAGGAACTTCTTCACAACCAACATGTCTGCTGAAAGTTTTGTCACAATCCAACCAGGATTCACTCAACCTCACTCAAAAAAAAAAAAAAAAAAGAATCATATCCAGTGTTAAATAAACCTCATTCCATTTGAAAACTGGAAGGAGGAACTGTGTGGAATCATAGGAACTATGTTCAACCTGAGCCTGAAGCTGGGGAAAGTACCACAACTGTGGAAGACCTCCNACAAACTTGGGTCTCAGCTGTTCACCTAGGAACTTCTTCACAACCAACATGTCTGCTGAAAGTTTTGTCACAATCCAACCAGGATTCACTCAACCAAAAAAAAAAAAAAAAAAAAAAAAAAAAAAAAAAGAATCATATCCAGTGTTTAAAAAACCTCATTCCAGTTGAAAACTGGAAGGAGGAACTGTGTGGAATCATAGGAACTATGTTCAACCTGAGCCTGAAGCTGGGGAAAGTACCACAACTGTGGAAGACCTCCTGTGTGGTACTGGTACCAAAGACCAAACACCCAAAGGACCTCAGCAGCTACAGGCCGGTAGCCCTGACATCTCATCTGATGAAGACCCTAGAGAGGCTGGTCCTCATCCATCTACGCACCCTGGTAAGGTCTTCAATGGATCCGCTAGAGTTTGCCTACCAGCCTGGCATCGGGGTGGATCCCTTATTATTATGTATTGCAGTGATTTAATTTTACCTAAATGTAGAAAATGTTACATTTATATCACATCATGGATCACATATTGATCAGATGCTGCTGCTGCTGCTGACTGATCCATGATGTGATGTAAATGTAACATTTTCTACTTAAAGGTAAAATTAATCACTGCAATAAAATAACTTTGTCTGTTTTTTGTCACTTTTACGGTGGATTGCATCAACTCTGTTACATTACAGAAGGGAAACTTCACCAAAGTGAAATAAGAATCTGTGGATCTGTGTTTGATTACTCTGGCTGGCTTTCTCAAGGACCAGGATGTAAATCTGAATTTTGGAATTGAAACTGAAATATGGAACTGAAAGTGAAAGTCAAACTGAATTTTTAATAGACCAAAATACAGTTTGAAAGCAAATTAATTCAAATTCAAAACTTTAAATTCAGTTTCAAACCATTAAATTCAGTTTCAATTTAGATAAATTCATTTTAAAACCAACACATTCAATTTCAAATTTTGCACATTCAGATTCAATCAGAGCAATTCAAATTCAMTTCCTGCTYGCACAAGATTTATCCCATACATTGCTCCCATCAGCTGTTAGACTTTATAACCATCACTGCTTGCAACAATCATAAGCATACATGTTTGTGTTTGCACATCAAACAACTCTGCCTCTCAATCATTACACAAATAATAAACAATAATAATAATTGTTCACTGTTTTTCCTGTACTGGACTCAATGAATGAGTTTGAAACAATTTGCACACCCCCGAGTTCGACTCAATTTGCATAGACCAAATTTGAATCATTTTGCACAAGTCAGTCATGACAGTTATTTCCTGTAATTATGTATCTTTCTGCACAGTAGCTTGCTTTTTTACTTTCATTTTTATCTAATTTTTCAGTGATGGATCAGTCCTACCGGTACTGTAATTATTATTCTTATTTTGACTTGATCTATGTTTATTTTGATTGTTACAATCTTTAATCATTAATTCTATTATTTTTGCTAGTATTGATATTGTCACATGGCAACATACTGTTTTGTGGATTTATGTATGTACATGCTGCTACTACTACACCGGAATTTCCCCGCGTGGGACAATAAAGGCTGTTTCTATTCTATTCTATTCTATTCTATTCTATTCTATTCTATTCTATTCTATTCTATTCTATTCTATTCTATTCTATTCTATTCTAT